CTTCAAACAGTATAGACAACTCTGCAACAGATAAATTGCATTCTATGAACATTCTTCCTGTCATTATATGGGCAACCAATTTGCTGTAGAGCACAAAGGCTTCATTCTAAGGGCTAATAAATATTCTGAGAAATACTTCAAGGTCCAACAAATTTTATCTTAAATACATTAAATATGTACATGTATGTGTGTGTGGGGGGGGGGGGCTGAGTGTGAGTGTGAGTGTGAGTGTGAGTGTAAGAGTAAGAGTGTGAGAGAAGAGAGAAAATGAGAGAGAGAGAGAGAGAGAGAGAGAGAGAGAGAGAGAGAGAGAGAGAGAGAGAGAGAGAGAGAGAGAGAGAGAGAGAGAGAGAGAGAGAGAGAGAGAGAGAGAAAATGAGAGAGAGAGAAAATGAGAGAGAGAGAGAGAGAGAGATCATGCATTAGTACAAGTGTGATGGTAAGAGCTTAGTCATCATCAAACCAAATTAATATCAGATATCAATACTAGTTTCAATCCTGCCTCCTGTTTTGACCTACTAATACATCTGTCCTTCAATCTTCCTTGCAATACAATGAAGGCAAATTTCATTTCAAAATAGTCCTTTTATACATAAAAGCAAATACATTTTTTTCCTACTAATAAATAATATGCAAGCCTACATTTGTGCCTTCCTATTCTAGTACATGTCAACATTTCCATACATTTATATACTGTCATTCTTGTGCCACAAATAACTGCCACCATATTAAATCCAAAATATAAAGCCATTGAGGGTATCACAAAAATACTAGGTGATCAACTGCAAACGATTTGATGAAATGGAAGAAAAGAAACGGGAATATAAGAAAAATACAATACAGGTCTTCAGAAGAATCAGAACTGTACACTGTTTCATTAATCTGACAAAGAGTGATATCCGCACCTTAAAACCACAAGGTGAAAGACAAAGAATTCTAAACACCAAAAAGAAAGGCTTATAAGCCTTGCCTTTAGTAAGACTGAAAATATAGAGTAGAAAGGCCTCACAAGGTACAATTCCCGAAGAATACTGAGATTTGTGTGGAGCCCTCCAATAACATAACCACCGTTTTATCCTGGAAAGTGGACATGTCAAGTAAAAAAAAATGTATATATGTAGAAAAAAAATGTTTAAATAACAAAATAAAAATAGTAAATAGCCACCTTAGAACAGAATACTGTAATATTCTGACAAGTTTCAGTTACTATTACCACAGTTTCCTTTACTCCCAGTACTGATGTTACCCACTCAGAGACATAGCAAAAGATGTGCAAAAAAGAAGATACTTTCTTCTAATATATTTTAAGGGAAAAAGAATGAGCTCCAAATTGATGATTTATAAAGTTTGTGCAAGACACCAATCTCCTTATTCCACTATAGTATATGATGAGATTCGTGCAACTGCATATGAAATTAATGTTTCCGCAATATGTCAAACGTGTGCAACTTTTTATTAGTGTATAAATTGTTTTTTAACCCGCTGCTGCCAGGGAAATGTGATGACCAATTGACTTTAGTTTATCAATTATACTTACACACAGATGGTTCCACAAGTGCTCAGCCACCAAAGAGTAGGAGATGAGTAGAACTAGTAAATGACGGGAATAAGCACCTGTGGGGCCATTTATGGGTAAACACAAGTGGACATGGCATGAACATGCGTGATATTCCCAACAACAATGGTTCTCTTTATTCTGAGAGTCATAAATTGCATAGGAGTCACTACTTTCATATTCTATAAACTTGCTAGCATAAAATGGTGAGCAGAATTAGCCATCAAGTAATTGGTATTATCAGTTAATCACATACATTAACAAAAATACATGAAAAATAAACTATAATGGACAAGAAATTGGCCCTATCATAAGCTGATGATATATATAATAAAAAGGTGGGAACGCATCTAAATGACACATAGCCTAAATATAATGGATCTATATCTCGCCACTTCCCTGTGTGTTAGGAATGGGCGGGGCCTTCATAATGGCCAATATTGGATTATTTTCCCAACCTTAACCAAGACAGATCCTGCCACATACAAATCAATCCTGGGTGACTGCCTCCCTACAGCTGGAGCTTTTGATCTAGAAAGAGATATTCTGCAACCTCATGAATTTAGTCTTCTCCCTTAGTGATGCTGAATAACCCTTCTAAATTCAGTGTGAATCCTAACAACCTTTCATCAGGTAGTCAAAGGGTAAACTCTTTGATGGCAGATGGCATCCATACAGGCCATGATACGAGTGGGCCAAATTCTGAATAGTACCTAAACTTAAAACAGCAATGGAGTCTGCTCTGTGTTCTTCATGCTACATAGGCACGGCGTTCTATAGGTCCAACTTGCTTTTTATAACAAAACAGTACTCAGCCTATCAAGACTAAACAACAGGGAAACACGGTCATCCCTGCAAGTCTAATCTTCGGTTCATGTGTGCAACCTTGGAACTAACCACAGCTCTCCAATTACTTCCTAGTGCAACTGGCTTAATAAATCATAGACAAGACACAAAGTCTGAGTAAAAAGAGTGCCCTCATCATGACAATGGTCCTGCCTAGCACAGGTTATGAGAAATTTGATGAGGAAGCTAATGAGGATATCATATGGATGTACATCACTACAAATTATTTCCAATTCATATGAACAGCAATCAAAACTGTTAATACAAGAACCACAAGTCAAACTACTGACAGTTTGTTAGTAAAACTCAACTACTGATAGTTTGTTAATAACTTTCTTCTCCAGCATTATTATAATGTGTATGTGTGTGAGGTATAATTGCACATATGTAATTCTATGCACATGTACATAGAAAAACAATATCTTTACATCAACTGAACTCAAATCAGCTTATACTTCAATTTGAAATTCACTAATAAGGCTTGGGTGAGAAAAACAAAAAGAGAAAGAGAAAGTGAGAGAGAAAATATTTCACATTACACTTCTATGGATTAGTTTATCTTTAGGTGAGTAGCTTCAAACACAGCACATATCTGATGCAAGTAAGTACCATAACGTCACCAACAACCCGTTAGTAGATTTAAAGAACCACAAAACCCATAAAAGACAACTATATAAGGAAAGCTTTATGAAATTTCCAAATAACAATACACACCACACATAAGCTCGTATCCACTGGCCTACCTCGGGCATAGATAAGCTTGTGATAAGGACGGTGAGGTAGGCTTTGCTTATTCACAAGTCACTGCTAGCTAACTGATCATTTCAAGGATCACTGAACTACCCGCAGAATGGGTCTCTCTCTTTAGCACTGTAGTAAAAGAATCATAAAATGTATTACAAATCAATATACTTGCAGAATGGAAACATTTTATTAATGTAACATTGCAAAAAGGTAGAGCTCAATTTTATTCTACCTAAGAATATATTACTGAAACATATGCCCATACACATACTTTATGTATGTATATATGTGTATATATGTGTAATATATATATATATATATATATATATATATATATATATATATATATATATATATATATATATATATATGTATATATATATATATATATATATATATATATATATATATATATATATATATATATACATATTTATACATATTTATATATATTTATATATATTTATATATATTTATATATATATGTATGTATATGTATATGTATATGTATATATATATGTATACATATGCATATATATGCGTATATATACGTATATATGCATATATATGTATACATATGTAATATATATGTATACATATGTAATATATATTTATATATATAAATATATATATATATATAAATATATATATAAATAAATATATATATATAAATATATATATAAATATATATATAAATATACATATGTATATATATGTATATATATGTATATATATGTATATATGTATATATGTATATATGTATATATATGTATATATATGTATATATATGTATATATGTATATATGTATATATGTATATATGTATATATATATATATATATATATATATATATATATATATATATATATATATGTATATATGTATATATGTATATATATGTATATATATGTATATATATGTATATATATGTATATGTATATGTATATGTATATGTATATGTATATATACATATACATATATACATATACATATATACATATACATATATACATATACATATATACATATACATATATACATATACATATATACATATACATATATACATATACATATATACATATACATATATACATATACATATATACATATACATATATACATATACATATATACATATACATATATACATATATACATATATACATATATAAATATACATATATACATATACATATATACATATACATATATACATGTACATATATACATGTACATATATACATGTACATACATACATATATATATGTATATGTATGCATATATGAATATATGAATATATAGAAAATGTATGAATGAGAATGAATATCTTCAAGAGATGTATCTGACCGGTTTCGATCATATCTTCATCAGAAATACATGTATTTCTGAGGAAGATATAATCAAAACTGGTCAAATACATCTCTTGTATTGTGAAGATATTCATTCTCATTCATACCTTTTCTACATTTGTCAACATGAATACAGTTCATATATGAATATATTAATATATGTATATGTATATATGTATATATACATATATATACACATAAGTTTATATTTGTATATATACACACATATATGTGTATATATGTATATATATATAAAGCATGTGTATACATTTTTGTGTATGTGTATATGTATATTTGCATGTATATGTGCAAGTGTATGTGTATGTTTGTACATGAGTTGTGTCACAATCAGTAAGTAGATTAAAAAAATTAAAAAATCATAAATTTTTTATAAGAACCTCTCTGTTCTATTCAATACTCTCTACCCAAGTTCAGTAAATAATATCAGCATTAAAATTAAAGATGCTTTTCAGACATTTATGGGGGTAACGTCATACCTCAGAAATTGAGGGGGAAGGGGGGAGGGGGTTAAGACATAAAAAAAAAAGAAAAATCAGCAACTTAAACTGAAAGTATCTGGGTGGGTGGGGGGTGGGGGTGGGGATTTTGTTTGCATTTTGAAGAAAGACAGCGACTCCGTTTCCACCACTCGCACAGATTTATCAAAAACACATCACAGGGATTAAGCTGGCTGTTGTGGCTTCAGGTCAGGCTCAAGATTTTTTCGTCAAAAAGGAGAGGAGAGAAAACAGACCCATTATAAAAATATGAGGAATGTCTTTGCTCTTCATAATGGACGCCACTAAATTATGCAAATTACAAAGGAACAAGATCAATACAGCCTACACACTATGTTTTGGGACACTCCCTTGTATCACACTGTGTCGGATATGAGTAATACCAGGATAAAATACATGAAATTTTCGGGGTCTTCTAAAGGCACTGAAATATACAGCCTATGGGTGGGTGGGTAGGTGAGTGAGTGAGTGAGTGAGTGAGTGAGTGAGTGAGTGAGTGAGTGAGTGAGAGAGAGTGAGAGTGAGAGTGAGAGTGTGAGTGTGTGTGTATGTGCGTGTGTAAATATTAATATGCAAGTATATATATTTATCTTCATTTTGCTGTCCTCTATATTTCTCCCTTGCACTTTCTTCACTCATTTTCCTCTTTATGGATCCATACGCACACATACAATTGCAGGCCTACACATGCCCACAAACACAAACTCACACGTACATACACATACACTCTATCTTGCTCTCTCTGTATATGCACATTCTTTATAATGAAAGCAAAGAGAACATATCAATGTTAAAGCTCTCTCAGGTAAAGTTTATAAGTTTCTATGTCGCTTTTTCTTGAAACGGAACCCTTGTCTGTCTGTCGATAAATTCAATAGTTCTAGATAGAATATGCAATTTACCTACTAGCTACTTACTGCCAAATCTAACACAAAATAACTCAAAATATCTACTGTATAAATAATAAATTCCAAACATCTAATCTCTTGGTGCTTCCCTTACCTTAACCAACCTAAATACTGATGAAAAGAAATTGGCTATTAAACATAAGAGAATCCTTTACATCACAGTATACATGAAACATGAGAATTCAATGTTATCTGCAATGTCCTCATTGAAAACTGGCAATTCATCTGGCTGCTGAGGTGAAAAAGCCTTCAGTACTTGGCTCATTATCAGCAGAACTGTACCCTATACATTCTGGCAACCCAATCTTATAGACCTTCTTCGTAATTTATCATCAAATAGGAAATAAGTACAAGCTCTATCTTCCTAGCATATGAGAGCATGAACATCCAAAGGTGTTTTAGGACTAACTGCCAGAAAATGCGTCTGTTAATTTATTTTCTTTGATTATTTATTTATTTATTTATTTATTTATTTATTTATTTATTTTTTATTCATAAAATAAGCATTAAAATGTTCACATGAATGTACTAATATTGTGAGATAGAGTGCATTAATGTAAACACATATATGCTTATTTTATCATTCAAACATAATATATTTCTGGGAAATTGGTCTAAGAACAGCCTTGGACTCGCATTTCTTCATATATGGCAATTTGTTGGCCTTTGCTGGAGCAACAGAAGTAAGGAGGATATGACAAGCATTAATTCAATAGCTGGCATACGAGTTATTACTATTATTTTTTAAAATTCCTATAGCAGCAATCTTATATACATCTAAATGTTTAAAGAAGTAATTACCAGACTATTACTTCAGGAGAATCTAATAATCACTCTGCCTTATACTGTCCTTATCAATGCCACTCCCCTAATGCTTTATGACCTACTGCTAACTAGACAAAACCTATTGATTTCCAATATATTCAACCAATAAATAATTTACTTTCCCTTAATTTAGAAAACAAGATGAGAAAGTGAGAAAATGATAAGGCTTCAATGCAATATCTTTCAACACGGGCGTGGGGAATAAAAAAGAAAAAAAAAATAAAATCAAGTCAAAACCTGTGTGGCTAATACATTTATCCAACATATATTTTCTTTTACTATAATTATCTCATAGTTAATAAATAGTCATGAAAAACATCTGACACTGAATAACAATGAAAGCAATACAATGGAAGCATCACTAAATATCTTTCACAATTATGTTCATGCCTAATAATATGGGGGGGGAGGGGGAAATGTAGCTATATGTTACCAAAATATATCAGATTAATATATATACATACATATGTGTAAGTACATATAATATATACATATATATACATACATACATATATATACATATATATATACATACATATATACATGTACGCATTTCATCACTGCTTTCAAATCCATATATCTTGAAAATTTAGCATTTATCATATATTTTATTTGGGTAAACTAGATACTGGTACAGACAATTTCTAGAATATTTATTACATATTTATATGTTATGTATAATCAATTTCTAACCAGCCAATTACTTACTAGGAGGGAATAGGATTTATCTACTTATGTTAATGGATAAAACAAAATGCCTTTACCATATGTGAGAGTTCGTCTTATATGCAACAAAGGTCTTCACCGACATATTTAGAGAAAAAGAAGTGTTAATACAATAGAGTGCATTAATATCATTAATAAAAAGTGTAATAAATCAGACACTGCTACAAACTGCTATGTATGCAGACCGCATTGTCTAAAAGGACCTGCCCCTCAAGAAAGAACTTGACAAAACATGAATTCAGTAATTCTATTAAAATTAATATATCTCAACGGATAAGAAGCTTGCTAACTGTCCAGATTAGGACCACATCAAGTGCTGTGATTTTGCATGGGTTGACATTAGGCAAAACAGACCCTTTGATGACAAATCACTAGGGAGTTTGAAATGTTTAATAAAAATTAAAAAACGCTTTAAAAAACACAATTTACATAGAAAATCTATCAGAAAAGAATCTATATAACCACTCATCAATTATCAAAGATATGCCCCATAATGACCCAATAATTTCACACTTTTAACAATCCATCAAAGGCCAATAAATATTTTCTATATATGCACTAACATTCAGAGACACTTGGGACACATTAAACAGAAAGCTGGACTGGCATCTTGCGCCAGTTACCAATTACCGTCGAGACAGCCCGACTGTGGTTGGCTGACAGGCATGAGAGGGCCGGTCGCACACTTTACAGACTTCTATGCGAATTTATCATTTTATAAATAGCCATTCTCAACTCTATACTGCCTAAAAATGTGTGGTTGGGATTTGTTGGTCCTTGCTAGAGCACCAACAATATCAGAGGCCACGGCAATCACAAGAGCTAATCTCAAAGGAACATGACCCAAGGTTCGATAATTTTGCGTTTTTTGTCATCGCGACACATATCCTCCTCTATTCGTGCGATCTTAATCCGGACAATTACCAAGAAAAAAAAAAAAAAAAAAAAAAAAAAAAAAAGCCTAAAACGGCAACACGAAACTTAACTGCTAACGACCAAACGAGACACGACTCGATCCCTTACCTTAGTCTTTGGATGCGTTTCCTGCGTCGTCACATCGAGATTGTCCGAGGAGGAGCTGGCGCTGGACTGGACGCACTTGTTGTCGAGGAGGTGGTCACTCGACTGCGTGGGGGACTGCGAGGGTGACTCCAGGGCCACGCGCTGGTATAGGCCCTCCTCCACCATGAAGGACGACTGTGGGCTTTGCAACTACTCCTCTACCATCAAGGCCTATGCTCTGGCGTATGTTTGTTTACAGGGAGGGGGTGGCTCGGGGGGAGAAGGGAGAAGAAGGGAGAAGAAGGGAGTAGGGAGAAGAAAACCACCTTCTAAACAACTCTCCCTAAAAACACCTACTTCGCCACCTGATTCCGGGGGCTGCTTCCCTTTTCCCCTCTTTTTTTCTCTCTCACTCACTCTCTCTTTAAATATTCTTTTCTTCCAATTCTCTTTCTTTCTCTCTCTCTAACTACAAGTGAGACCCCAGCCGACCAGGGAGACAACCAGCACGAACACTCACGACTTCTTCCTCATTTTTCCTCAGCGCCTTCATCTTCCTCCCCCTTTTTTCTCTTTCTCCTGTTCTCGGTCACCTCTTTCTCTCTTCCACTCGCGAATTTCAGGTCCTTAATCACACGGAGCGAGAGAGAGAGAGAGAGAGAGTCCTCAATAAAGGGCGTGGCGGGGTAAATAGGCGGCGAAAACCCCGGAGAGAAATAAAAGAACGAGAGAAGGAGGTCCGCCTGTGACACGAGCTGGACTTTCCTTCTTCAGGGTGTGTTCATGTCTGCGGCGGGGTTTAAGTCCGGGTCGCGTAGTGGAGGTCTTTTTTTTTTTTTCCCGAAGGCGTGTGTTTATAGTCGTCGAAATTCGTTTTTCGTGTTTATATTCGTTAAAAGTCGTTTCCAAGGCTCTTAGGTGATTTGGGTTTATATGATTTGGGTTTTTATTAGAGTATAGAGAGGTATGTGTGGGTAGATAAAGGAACGAAATGAGAGGGTCTTTTTCCCGAAGGCGTGTGTTTATATTCGTTGTATTCGTCATAATTCGTTTTGGACGATCTTAGGTGATTTAGATTTATATGATTTGGGTTTTATTAGAGAGTAGGGAGGTATGTGTGGGATTTGCTTCTCTTGAATAAAGGGCCGTTATGAGAGGGTCTTTTTTCCCGAGGCGTGTGTTTATATTCGTTAAAAATTCGTTTCCGAGGCTCTTGGGTGATTTGGATTAATATGATTTGGGTTTTATTAGAGAGTAGAGAGGTATGTGTGGGATGCTCTTCTCTTGAATAAAGGGAGGATATGAGAGGGTCACACGCGCAGTGCCACCTGTTGGCCGCGCAGATGTACCGGTTCACGAGGCGGAAATATTGGACGCTGAACACAGAACGAAAAGGAAAAAAAAAGAAAAGAAAGAAAAAAAATAAATTCATAATAAGATGTTTTCGTCATTCGAGATTATTGTGCCATGAAATCACTGTTGTAAAGGCGTTTTAAAAATGCACGCAATTATTCTCAGCGATTAGCGAAATTGGTTTTCAATGAGGGGGTTTATTTTAAAAATATATGAGGCCCAGTGTGGCACATCCCGTAATGACGTAATTGATAGCTCGGATCACTCATTCGTGAATCATCGTTTGATTGCTATGTCTTGTTTATCTCCTTGTGTCTTATTTATTAGCAGGCGCACACATGCAAGCTTGCATGCGTGCATACAAATGCGTGCATGCATGTGTGTGTGTGTGTGTGTGTGTGTGTGTGTGTGTGTGTGTGTGTGTGTGTGTGTGTGTGTGTGTGTGTGTGTGTGTGTGTGTGTTTATGTACAAAGATAATAAAAATGGTCTATAATAATAGCGATCAAATACATGCAGAGTAGCTGTAAACGAAGAAAATTGCGCACCTGTGCACGTGAGCTCTTACCGAGAGCAACTACATTCTGCGAGCGAGCCACATACTTCGTTGGTGATCGATGTCAGTCATTTAAATACCGAATTCTAAGTATTTTTTTTTTCCTTGCCAGACGGTCTTCGTGAGACAGGGGAGGTGGGGCGTGTCTCTGCGCAACATCCCCCCTGTACCCCTGCACACACATACACACACACACACACACACACACACACACACACACACACACACACACACACACACACACACACACACACACACACACACATATTTCCCCCTTCCCCCTCGCCTTCCTCCTCTCCCCCCCTATCTCTCTCTCTATCTCTCCCACCCTCCCTCCTTCTCTCCCTCTTCTCTACCTCTCTACCTCCCTCCCTCCCTCTACCTCTCTCCCTCCCTCCTCCCTCCCTCCCTCTACTTCTCTTTCTCCCTCCCTCTACCTCTCTCCCTCCCTCCCTCCCTCCCTCCCTCCTTTCTTCCCTCCCTCCCTCCCTCCTTCCTTCCCTTCTTCTCTCCCTCCCTCCCTCCCTGCCTCCATCAATTCTTCCCTCCTTCTCTCCCTCCCTCCTTCCCTCCTTCTCTCCCTCCCTCTCCCCCCTCTCTCTCCCTCCTTCCTTCCCTCCTTCTCTCCCTCTCTCCATCCCTCCCTCCCCTTTTTTTTAAGAATACGTGAGTGTATGGTTGCCCAGTGGAATGGCCCCTTCCGGACAGACGCCCGTTAACAAGAATTCAGAGACTGCGCAATGCTCAAGTCCCTTCAACTTTTATTACTGAGAGCGTAGTGCATGGCCTTTGTGATAGAATATTTAGCTACAGGATAATGTGTTTATTTTATGGTTTGAACTGTGGGGTTTAATCTTAATCCACTTAATTGTTCATTTGTTTGGAATTTTGCAGGTATCGTTGAATACATTCTTTTAACAGGAAATGAGTGGGAGATTCTATCGCAGGTTTGCAGACAAGTGGAAGAATCTACCACAAAGCAGGAGAAAAGTGGGGGGGAATTCTACCGCAGATTAACAAGCAAGTGGATGACGAATCTCTCAATCTACCACAAAGGAAGACAGGTGTAGGATTCTACCACTAACCAGGAGCCAAGTAGAGGAATGTACCACAAGCCAGGAAAACGCTGTCAAAGAATGGAATCCACCCAAAAGGCTCCTAATGAAGAGAGCGTCAGCACACTCACTTGTTGAAACATCCACTAACCTTTCCTTTTGTTGCCAAGTGCAGATGAAAATGCAAACGCAATAAATAGAAGAACTTTTCCTTATGTTGCCAAGTACAGATGAAAATATAAACCACAATAGATAGAAGGGAGAGGTCTGTATTAGAATATAGTTCTATACTTATATAGACCTTGCATTGCACGAAACACGAAAGCAGTGGTTAGTTACTCTCTAGAAATCGTAAATGAGCCTTCCTTATAAAGAGGCCACAAGCATCGGCATGGACAGCACTATATTGTTTCCTCACCTGCACTTTTCTCAGTACACCAGAAAAGGCAATATTTTTGTCAAGTATTCTCCCTGCGAGTTCTTGGCTGGATTACAAATAAAGTCATATAACTGCTAAAAAAAGAAAGAAAGATCACTCATTTATCATGACGCATATATAGATACGTTTAGCCTGTAAGTGTATCATTACAGGCAGGTTTCTGGACCTTTGTTAAATTATTTGCAGGTGACACTTAGACTTCGTAAAACAAACACAGAACACAAGATCTTTTTTATTGATATATTGTCATTTCAGAATATTGCTTACGTTCTAAATATAAAACTCATCATGCATATGTATACACACACACACAAACACATATATATGTGTGTGTGTGTGTTTGTGCGTGTGTATATATATGTATACATATATATAGATAGATAGATAGATATAGATATATAGATATATATGTATATATATATATATATATATATATATATATATATATATATATATTACAAGTGTATGAGTGTGTATGTGTGTACTGTGTGTATATACATTTATACATATATATAGATATTCATTTATTTATCTACATGCACACACACTACGGTAATGTATATAAGTCCGTATCAAACATGCGTCTAAAAACCTATACTGCCTCGACCATCTTCAAAACATACACATCTCAGCCTTATGCTACCTTCAAGTAAATGTCATCCCTTGCGCCACATTCGTTCCTCACCTTTCATCAGATTTCACCGCTGCCAACCCTATCGCCGTTAAGAACAGGATTTAACCCTTTCTGAAAGGAGATACGCCGGGTCAGGTGTGCACAGGTAAGCCTTTATTCACACCAGGTTGTGCTAAGTCGATGGATTTGGCATTTAGAGAGTCCATCCGATACTTGTGCAGTACCTGGCTGGAACACACACACACACACACACACACACGCACACACACACACACACACACACACACAAACACATGTATATATGTATGTGTGTGTGTGTATGTGTGTGTGCGTGTGTGTGTGTGTGCGTGTGTTTGTGTGAACAGACGTTTCCTAACATTACTGCTATCACTAATGGTTCATTGTAATCAACATTACACATTACAAGTCATAATTATTACGAAATCACCATTATCATCCAAATCCACAATCATTCACATTTTTTCCTCTATTTCTCTCACTCAACGAAAGTCTCTCTTGCATATTGCCAATGACCTTGCTCACTGTAAGACCCGCGTTTGTCTTCAGAAAATCAATACCACTGAGATAATTTTGGCATCAAGTCATCAATTATTCCTGTGAGCGTTTCACAGCCCAACGCGTCCCCTCCTTTCTTATCTTTGGAGCTGACTTCTGTTTATCGTAAGGGTGTTTTTGGGATGATATGAGGAGAGATTGTTTTGTAGGTTTTTATCACGGTTGAAGAAAATAAAAAACTATTTTGTAGGTTTCATCACGGTCGAAGAAATAATATAAAAACGATTTCGTTGTAATTCTTACTTTTTTCTTGACTCTCTGGTTTTGATGTGACGTGATTCATAACATCCCAAAGATGGTCGTTAAAAAACGATTTATTGTTTTTTTTTTTTCTTCTTGACTATTTTTTGATGCGACGTCATTCATAACATCCCTAAGATGGCTGATAAGAATTGTCGATAAAAGATACCCATATGCAAATGTGTAGATAATTAAGACGAAATGTTCCTGTTAGGTTTTAGCTTACGAACGAAAATGTCAACTTGAATTTTTTTCTTTCTTTTTTTCAGCTGGTCGGGCCTCTAATGTCAAAAACATGTATGTTGGAAATCCGAAGACCGCAAGAACAGGACTACTACCAGTTCCACTTCAACTAATGATTATCAACTTATTTTTTTTACCCATTTATGCAATTCTAGTCACTTTTCAAATATGCTGAGTGAAGGCAGTAAGAGTAAGAAGCAACCAGCTATCTGTGTGAAAAAATACTTTTAGAATTCTAAAAAGAAAGAAAATGGCAGTGTTAATCTAAACAAATAAGAAAAAAAACGAAACGACGTAAAACAAGTAAGTCACATTGAACTATTTGTTAACGAAAGAACGAAGAGTTTAACGACCCCCAGGGTTGAAAAGGGGCGCTTAAATAAACCACAAACAAATTAGCATTTCAAAAGTACAATACATATTTAATAGTAATAATAATAATAACAATAAAGATAATCTTTCCATCCACAACATCGCCAAACATATATACATACTGCATTAATGCCAAGAAAGAAAAAACAACTAAACACATATAGTTAATGAAAATAGATTCTGCCCGGTACTATTTATAATTACAGGCATTTGGGGCAAGCGAGGGAAACGGCGGTGCAAAAGGAAACGTATAGCCACACTTTTAGAACAGGACATACAAGCGTGTTACTCGTTGTTGGAGCCATACCTTGT